ATTTGTTTTGATCTGGTTTTGGTAATTTAGAAGCTTTGAAAACCATATTTTCAAGATAATTCTGACGATTCAGGCCAATTCAACTCTTTCCAAGCAATGTTGGCGCTTGTTATGGAAATGTCATTGGCATAATTACAGGGAGGGATAGGGGGCTTGGCCTCCCCTTATAATGTATGTAGCCTCCTCTAGAAAAGTTAACTGCATTTCGTGTAGTTCAGAAGCACCTTCCTTATTAATTTTATCATAGTCTTTTTTCAAAACCATTTACAAGTTGAAAAGGAATGCAATTAACGCTCAACATTCCCTGTGTGAAAGCGAAAATTTTCGGTAAAATCTACGGAAACCATTGGTAAAGGCCGGCTAAAAGTAAATTGGTGCATTCCTCGCGCGCCGCTAGCACGCCTCTAGTGTTGGGAATCGACAATCTTTGACAGTGGTTTGTTTACACTTCTATAGAGAACAACTGGTGCAAGTTTGATCAAAGTAGTCGATCGCGATCAGAAATAACGTCAAATAGAACTCGAAAGAAGAAAAAATATTGTGCCCAAACACCTGGAAAATCCGGAGTAGTCCGGTTCCAAGCTGGCTAAAGAGCTGAAGATGCCGAAAACAACAGTTTATCGAGTGTTCAAAACCTACAAGAAAACTCTGAGTGTGGAAAGGAATCAGCGGACTTACGAAAAAACTGGAACCAGGGATCGTCAGCTGCGCGCAAGGTGTCGAGGTGCGTTAAAGTCAACCCCGGTCTTTCGATCCAAGATGTGGCCAGAAGGTACAACGCCAACTTTCAAATGGTGCTGAACATCTTTTCCAGGTAAACATCTGAACCGGCACATGAAGCAGAATTCCGTCGTCAAAAAGCGTGCAAGGCTCTTGTACGACCGTGTTTTGACGAAACACAAGGGCTGCACTTTGATCGATGACGAAACATACGTCAAACTCGATTTAAGCAGCTTCCCGGTCAAAAGTTTTATATCGCGACTGGACGTGGGGATGCCCTAATAAACAAAAACCATAAACAAAATGTACCCCGGAAGGGTAAACTATCCCACAAATGGTTTGGATGATACCCCGAATACGTCGTTAAACTTTCTTTTATGGTTATTTTTATTAGGGTTTGCCGGGAAGATTCAAGTTCGTGTTTGCCGACAAGCTTGCGAAGAAGGCCATGATTTGGCAAGCGATTTGCAGTTGTGGTCTGTAAACGGAACCATTTGTCGCATTCTCGACGATGACATCCCAAGTTTACATCGAAGAATGCCTGAAAAATCGTGTATTGCTGTTCATACGCAACCATATGGGCAAAGTCATTTTTTGACCCGATTTGGCCAGAGCAGCTACTACTGCAAGGTGGTTCTATGAAAGTTTGACAGACAAAATGAGGGGTTCTTGGATTTTCTTATGTTTCGAGGGGTGCATCGATTAGCTTGAGACCGAAGAGAGTACCAGAACTGTGCCAAAAAAAAAAGAGTACGTTTCTTCGGGACCTTCTGCTCTTAGAGTTACCTCTATGCTAATACTGTCTGCCACAACCTTTATTTGAAGAAATTTATGAATTGATTACACGCTTAAATAATAATGGAAAATTTTGCGCACTAACCTTAACAACCCACATCCAACAATCTACTGTTTCTCGTGTCATAAAACGTTTCGGAGAACGATTGGAAGCAATTGAGTGCAAGAAAAAATGTTCCGTACTGCGTTGAAGATCACAAACGGGTGATTGCTGTCTTCAAACGTAAACCCAACTATTTCGTTTAGGATGTCGCGAAAAACTGCACCTGACAAAAAAGTTTCGTTCAAAAAACCAAGAAACGAGCAGGACTCCGGTCATTCAAGGTTCAGAAAGCACCCAACTGAACTGACAGAATAGGACAGCTATAACGCGGGCTCGTAAGCTGTACGCACAAATGTTGACTAAACCAGTGTGCTGTATCCTGGACGATGAAACATACGTAAACTTAAAGTCCGCTTTTACAAATTCCGGGAAACCAGTAAGTGATTGCAAAAGACAAGTCCCTCAGGAAACAGCAAATGTCGAAGTTCCCCAAGAAATTCATAATTTGGCAGCCGATTTTCTCATGAGGAAAACGAAGCAAGCCTTTCGTAACAACTACAGCCCTAAAAAGTCAAGTCTACACGAATGAGTGCCTAAAGAAACGACTGATTTCGTTTCTCAAATCACACAGCGTTCCTTCAATGTTTTGGCCGGATCTATTTAGCCTCTTGTTACTACTCCAAGGACGTTCTGGAGTGGTACAAAACGAATGGTATCAATTTCGTGCCGAAGCATCTCAATCCCCCAAACACATTGGAATTGCGGCCGATCGAAAGATACTGGGCTATAATATAGTGAAGCACAAACTCCGTAAGCATCCTGAAGTTGTCACTACGGAGCAGGAAATGTTGAAATCATAGTTGAAGCAGGAAAAAGTGTTGATTCAACCATTGTACAAAACCATATGGGTGGAGTTAAGAAGAAAGTTCAGGTATTTGGCTTTGGTGAAAAAATAGAGTGAAATGAAGATATGGAACCCAAGCTTATATATAGTTTTAAATTCCCTGAAAATTTCATGAATCGGTGCAGAGACTTATTTTTGGCGAGAGCTTCTAAGTGATGCAATTTAGCTGTGGACAGTCTTTATAGGTTTGAAGTCATGTAGTTCCGGATTTCCAAATTTAGTATGAGTTTTATTTAAAAAAAAAATAGTTTGTTTTATAGTCCACTCAGGGATGGAAAATCATTTACATTCATTTACCTCTAACTTTTTTCATCAACATAATTCCGTAAAATAGTGTTTGAAGCTTTTGTAGGCTTTGATATTAACTACATCTTTTGTAAACAACTCATTCAGTATCTCTTATGCATGATGAATCAGAGCATTAAGAACCCACCATTGTTTTTCAGTGAATGTAAATTGCATTCACTGAAAAGCAATAACATGTTCTGTCAGCTCTAATTCATCATGCATAAGAGATTCAGATTTTAGTTACTGTCAAAAGTTGTGGTTAATATCAAAAGCTATATAAGCTTCACACATCGTTGTACGATATTCTGCTGACGAAAAAAGTTAAAGGCAAATGAATGCACGAAATGAATGTAAATGATTTTCCATCCCTGAGTCCACTGATTTCTCAGCAGGTTCAAGTACCAGATTTATGCCAAACGGCTTTATGCCAAACGGCTTTATGTCAAACGACTTTATGTAAATCGATTTTATATCAAACGACTGTATGCCAAACAACTGGATGCCAAACAACGCAATGTCGACGCTGTTTTTACGTGGAATTAAAAAAATGAGGCAATTGAAATGGATTGGAATGCAATTTTTATAATGCAGATGCAACCTGGTTGGTTGAACAGGTGCAGGAAGACATTTTTCAGCTTTCTATTTGAATTATAAGCAGTTTTGGTGATTTTTTAAATGACAATGTGATTTCGGTCATTTAAGACCATTACATCCTTTTAAAATCATGTTATGTATATAAATCGCTAGCTCTATCACTCAATGGTCCCTTCAATATCGAATAATGGAGAGATTTAGATTTAGACTTAGGTTCAGCAATGTCTCATCTGTTCTATCACTTTGCGAGGTACAAATCTCATACCCCGAAGCCATGCAGATCTAATAAATCTACTCAATGTATATCTCTCTGCAGTAAATACTGAGTACCACTTTCAGCTTTGTAGATAGTCAACTCTGTGCCCATGGAAAAGCGAGGCAGTGGGATGTTCTGATAAGAAGCATAACATTGAAACAAGCACATTCAATAGGTTAGTTGGGCGACATAACCAGATCATCACCTAACAACAAAACAGATCGAGCCTTGAAACTTGTGATACCGTTTCAAACCGAAAATAAATCACGTTACCCAAATGGATTCATGATTAAAGGTTACTAACAACACAGCAGTGCTTGATGTAAGTATGTGGCAATATTACAATCAATATTGTTTATACTGATGAGTGCGGATGATTTTCAAAAAACGAGATAATTACTCATCATGATACCTTGATATCAATTCTACGAAGTTATCACTTTATCATCTGAACAGTGACTATTTCAGTGATAACAATTTCTTTAAATTAAAGTATGGTTATGTGAATAACAAACTCCAGCCATTTTATCGCTTCTATTTGAAGAATGGCTTTCCTTTACGATACACAAACTAGTGCATGCGTGTTCTCAAAAGGTTCGAATCAACTGATCTCATCTAATCGCACTCAAAACCAATTCAAATCAACAAATCTTAAACTTCTAGTGAGCATCCAACATTCCATCAGAATCAACTTTCAAGGAAACATAAACACAACCCGATTCAATTTCCACAACTGCGTACCAAATGCAACATCATACCTCCCCCACCTCCTTTATTCTCCTTTCTCCTCCTGTCTCCTCAATTCTCCTTCGCCACCCACTCACCGAAAAATAAAAAAATCTTCAAATACCGGAAGAGTATCGTCCCTTGCCCGCTTGAATCGGTTTTGGCAATCGCTGTTACTTCCCCACTGCATGCTTCCACTGCCTACATACTTCCCACGATTCACCACCGCCGAAAAGAAAAAAAAAATCTAAATAATCGAGCGACGTAAAAAATAACCCCTCTGTTTATCTCGACATCTTCTTTCCCGCGTGAGCATCTCGCAGGAAAATTCACGGGCGCCGTGACGCGGAACGGACCGCGATCGGGGCGACAGAAAAGAGCGATCCTAAATTTATCCCCAAGTACGTTACACGCTGAAACACTGCGCAGCGCACGCTCAGCACCACCCAAATCTACACTCTCTAAGCTGGGTCCGGCTGAAGAAGACCAATATCTCGTCCAACAGACGAACGGAACGAGCAACGGTCAGTTTAGTTTCCTCACGCTTTTGGTCCCATTTGTGAAACACACCACCACCCCATTAGCGCTTATTCTTTCTTAGAGACAAAGCTCAACCTTGGCCTGGGAACTAAACGGACGGAGGTTCTAGACTAAACAACAATCATATCACTTACCGTGTACTCCAAATTGGGGCGGTTCGCTTTCTTCTTAAAGTTATCCATTCTGGCTGCGGGGTTCTATGCAACAAGGGGGTCAAGCACTGTCAAATCACTATATTCAGCGGGATTCAATTTTAAGCGAGTTTCCGGTTAGCAATGCGTTTCCTATTACAAGCACTTTGTCACACTCACGCACTTCTAGGCAATTGCTGGAGCTATCAGATCAAAGTTTGTCAAAGTCCTTCACAAAGTCGGAGAAATTGTTTCGAGTTCACGGTTCGGTTTTGCTATCCACCGATAAAGTCGAGCGGGCGTAGAAGGAGCGAGTGAAAAGTACGTCCGTTTGTCACGAGCTTTCCTGTACGAATGAGCGAAGCGAACGGGTTCAATTCGGTGATGGATGTAAAGAACGAACAACCCGGATTGCACGCAACACAACCCCATATCGGTTGCACGTGAATGTTGCACACTTCACGCGTGCGACGCTACAGCAGAGGGGGTGGTTGGGTAGGGGGTGATGTTGTGCAACTGCGTATGTCTGCGAAGGTAGTGATGTGACAACTTGTTGTGAGGTGTGAAGTGGAGAAGTTCAAAATTGTCACAATGTGTCACGAGCATGAGTAGATTAGTAAACGAACGGTTTACGTCAATGCAAATTGTTGTTGATTGTTGTTTTCAGAGATCAATAGAACGAAAACTTAACAAAGATTCGGGATAATTGATAGCTAAACAAAACAGTTGTGATTCATTTCTACTAAAACACAATGATTCCTAAAATCGACAAATGAATCTCCCCTACTTTTCGAACAAAGGTGCTATTTAAGGTTACATTTATTTTATCAGAGGAGCGTCTGAATTCAATTATCATCATACTTTTTTTCCATGGAAAACTACATCGTTTAAATGTAGTGCTTCTTTTCAATAACAATTTTATCTGAACCTTAATACATACTGAAATTAACAAGTACTTGTTACTTGAAATTAATTATATTTTAAATGGGAACTACATGTTACAAGTTCTTGTAAAATAATTATGTAATAGGCTCCTTAGGTTGACCAACTCAACGAAGTACTTAATCATATCTTTTTAAAATTGAGAAAGCCATCTAGCCTCCGATGTAATTCTCAATTTTAAAAAGATATGATTAATTTTAGAACGGACTCAGAAGATTTTTGACAGATCTAATGATTCCCAGAATTTAGCATTTTTAGTAAGCATTAAAATTGTAGAATATTAAATATTTAGACCAATTCATCCAAAATAAAAAGTGAAAACAATTTTACTTAAGGTACGTTTAGACTATCTGATTTGTTGATCTGATCCGAGTGGACTGTTCGATAATTTTGTCGGACGCAATGTTCGAATGCGTTAACACCTTTTCAACAGGATGATTAGATTTAACGTTTGATTTGTCGAACGAAGTAGGTTTGCGTTTAACACTCCGAATACGATGCCTCCGAAAAACGTGTAACGGCACAACTTAGCCATTTCTTAATGAATTTCAAAAATTGTGGTACCTTTAGAACTCCTTGGGTTTGTAAATAATTTTGATTGTAAAAAGTTTGAAAATAGAGTCGTCTACTTTTTTAAAAAAGTGAAAAGAGTTGTTACACGTTTTTTTGAAAGATGTGTTTTTTAGGGTTTTGCAAGTTGCGCAAGATCTGTATTTTAGATTAATGGACACAAATGTTCACAATTAGCCAGAATACAGTCATGGTTCCTATATATGGATCCTGGAGACAACAGAACGGTCCTCGAAAAATCCGGAACATCCGTAAAAGTGGTCAATCCATGACCCTGATCCTAGAGCTCTGCGGTTTTTTTTTTGAAAACATTAGGAACTGTGATATAAAAAAAAATATTTGGGGTCGTGACATAAACATGTACCTGGATGGCCATGGGACCGTCCTCCAGAAGATCCGGAACATCCGTAAAAGTGGACAATCCATGAAACTGATCCTAGAGCTCCGCGTTTTTTTAACAATAGGATCTGTGATATAAGAATGAATTTTGGTCATGGACCCAGATGGCCATCGGACCGTCCAATGGAAGATCCGGAACATCCGTAAAACTATTAAATCCACGATCCTGATGATAGAAAGAATTTGAGGTTGTGACATAAACATGAACCTGGATGTCCATGGGACCGTCGTCCGGAAGATCCGGAACATCCGTAAAAGTGGTCAATTCATGAAACTGATCCTAGAGCTCCGCGTTTTTTTTTAACATTAGGATCTGTGATATAAGAATGAATTTGGGCCATTAACCCAGATGGATATTGAACCGTCCAGTGGAAGATCCGGAACATCCGTAAAAGTGGTACATCCACGATCCTGATCCTAGAGCTCCGCGTTTTTTTAACATTAGGAACTGTGATGATAGAAATAATTTGAGTTTGTGACATAAACATGAACCTGGATGTTCATGGGACCTCCTCCGGAAAATCCGTAAAAGTAGTCAATCCATGAAACTGATCCTAGAGCTCCAAGGTTTTTGAAAAATACTAAGAAATGAGATGATAGAATGAATTTTGGGTCGTGACATAAACATGGACCCAGATGGCCATCGGACCGTCCTCCGGAAGATCCGAAAAATCTGTAAAAGTGGTCAATGTATGAAACTGATTCTTGAGCTCCATGGTTTTTTTAAAACACTTTTAACTGTCATACATAAATTAACTTGCGGTCGTGACATAAACATGTACCTAGAAGGCCATATTTAAAAATGGTCAATCCTCGAAACTGATCCTAGAGTTCTACGGTTTTTTTCGAGAGCATGTGGAACTGCGATATAAGAAAGAATTTGAGGTAATGACATAAACATGAACCCAAATGGCCATGGGGCCAACCTCTGGTAAGTACAGAACATCCGTAAAAGAGGCCAATCAATGAAACTGATCCTAGAGCTCCGCAGTTTTTTTTTTCCAAAAACGTTAAGAACTATGATATAAGAATGAATTTGTGGTCGTGACATAAACATGTACCTAGATAGCCATGGGACCGTCGTCCGGAAGATCAAAAACATCCGTAAAATGGTCACTCCATAAAATTGAGAGGTGTAAGCGGTACTATGACGAGTACCTCAACGGTGATGCAGTAGAAAACGAAGGTGGCACGATCTTGGAGCACGCGCAGAAGACGGCAGGCTACCGGCCCCTGGTCTTCAAGAAGTTGAGGAGGAGATCGGTCGGCTGAAGAACAACAAAGCAACTGGTGCAGATCAATATCCAAGTGAGCTATTAAAATACGGTGGTGAAGCACTGGCTAGAGCGCTGCACTGGGTAATTGCCAAGATTTGGGAGGAGGAGATATTACCGGAGGAGTGGATGGAAGGTGTCGTATGCCCAATCTACAAAAAGGGCGACAAGTTGGATTGCTGCAACTACCGCGTGATCACACTGCTGAGCGCCGCCTACAAGGTACTCTCCCAAATTCTATGCCGCCGTCTTTCACCATATGCAAGAGAGTTCGTAGGGCAATATCAGGCGGGATTTATGGGTGCCCACGCTACCACGGACCAAATTTTCGCGATTCGGCAGGTTCTGCAGAAATGCCGCGAATACAACGTGCCCACACATCATTTGTTCATCGATTTCAAATCCGCATACGACACAATCGATCGAGATCAGCTATGGCAGATTATGCACGAGTACGGACTTCCGGATAAACTGACGCGATTGAACAAGGTGACGATGGATCGAGTGATGTGCGTTGTTCGAGTATCGGGGACACTCTCGCGTCCCTTTGAATGTTGAAGAGGGCTACGGCAAGGTGATGGACTTTCGTGTCTGCTATTTAACATCGTGTTAGAAGGTGTGATCAGAAGAGCGACACGATCTTCAGAAGCCCATCCAGCTTCTTGGCAAGGTGGATCGACCAAGTAGAAGACGACCTGCGGACCCTTCGCAGGCTACGAGACTGGCAAAGTCTGGCCATGGATCGAGTAGAGTGGAGGAAACTTCTTCGGACAGCAGCGGACAACAAGGCCTTAGCCCGATTGCAAGCAAGCAAGCCATAAAATTGATCCAAGAACGAAAAAACCGTGGAACTGTGATATTAGAATGAATTTGGGGTCTTAACATAAACAAGAACCCGAAAGACCATGGGACAGTCCACCGGAAGATCCGTAAAGTGGTCCATCCATGATACTGTTTCTAGAGCTCCGTAGTTTTGTTGAAAACACTTCGAACTGTGATATATGAAAGAATTTAGGGTCGAGACATCAACATGAACCTGGATGGCCATTGGACCGTCCTCCAGAAGATCTGAATCATCCGTAAAAGTGGATCATCCATAAAACTGTGAAAACCCCGTAGTTTTTTTTCGAAAACTCTTGGAACTGCGATTTAAGATAGAATTTAGGGTCGTGACATAAACATGGCCATGGAAATGTCCTCCAAGAGATCCAGAACATCCGTAAATTTGTTATACTGTGAAACTGATCCTAGAGCTCTGCAGTTAATTTTTAAAACACTGTGATATAAGAAACCACTGGACCACTTGTACGGATCTTCCGGAGGACGGTCCCATGGCTATCTAGGTACATGTTTATGTCACGACCACAAATTCATTCTTATATCACAGTTCCTTCTTTTCCGGATGTTTGACTTCTTTTACGGATGTTCTGGACTTACCAGAGGATGGCCCCATGGCCATGTGGGTCCATGTTTATGTCATGACCCAAAATTCTTTCTTATATCGCAGTTCCACATGCTTTCGAAAAAAAAAAAAAAACCGTAGAAGTCTAGGATCAGTTTCGAGGATTGACCATTTTTAAATATGTTCTAGATCTTGCGGAGGACGGTCCCATGGACTTCTAGGTACATGTTTATGTCACGACCGCAAATTAATTCATATATGACAGTTAAAGGTGTTTTCAAAAAAATCTTGGAGCTATAGGATCAGTTCCATACATTGACCACTTTTACGGATTTTTCGGATCTTCCGGAAGACGGTCCCATGGACATCCAGGTTCATATTTATGTCACAACCCCAAATTATTTCTATCATCACAGTTCCTAATGTTTATAAAAAAAAACGCAGAGCTCTAGGATCAGGATCGTGGATTTACTACTTTTACGGACGTATTAGATGGTAACAATTTTCAGAGTATTTTTTGATATTGTTTGAGTATATTTCTTATCGGTGATTCTTGAGCCTCTGATAAAGATGATAGTTGTATGGAGGCTTTAATGAAGGTATGAGAGTGCTTCAAGTTTTATATCGGTCATGAAAAGTATGCCATAAATCATGATTGCATGTTTTGTTCTGGTTTTATTCTTCAGTTATAAGTAGTGATACAGAACCACCTTACAGCTACCGTTAAAACTACGAACCTAGAGATTGAATTTGTAGTCATAAAACGGTTTTAACGACGAC